GTCCTGGTCATAGTAAATGATTTGATAGGACAAAGAGTCAAAGTTGCCGATGCCTTTATATGTTTCACACACACTTTAGTGAATACAGTCGTTCTTTATAAAAATCTTCCACAAACAGGTTTTGGTTAAAAAATAAAGTCATGCATCATTTATATTCCATTTACAGAATAATACAAACCACATGAGCAGCATATGTTCTAGTTCAACATTACGGTTTTTAAGTTTCATAAATGTTCTTGGCTTGTGTACGTATCTTTTATCTGCAGCCGTCACCAACACAGACCAAACACTACATGTCACACGCTCTCTCGATGCATCAGAGGCTAAAATACTTCTCTCTCCACACAGTAAAGTGTTATTTGTTAAACGTTTCCATAGTAGTGCAGACCCAAACCGTGAGTCTGAGGCGTGGAAGAACGAGGCTCTGATAAGTTCTAAGTCATGTGATCCCAACACCATCTCACTAGTTCCTCACACTAGTTTTCTCATGCACGTGTTTTGGTCACATCCTAAAATCTAAAGCTTTCTCACACAAAAGGTTTTTCTATTTCGATGGCGACGGCACGGTTTGGTCTGATTGGTTCACTTTGACTTTTACAAGATTCTGACAAACTGCATGTATTGTTCATGGGTAAATGTTAGGTATCCCAGCTTTAAACCAGTCGTGTTTCTCATTTGGCAATTTCTCTAATTCTGTCACATTCTGCCTCCGTTCCAACATGTACATCTGCGTTTACACATTTCTCACTGACCGACTTTAAAATGATGTCACTGGTGATCTTCTAAATCTACCTCCAGACTGAACTACAACTATTATTTCATTTCACCACAAGTTTGACCAAGAAATTCAAAAGCAGAATCCTGGACAAGAAAGTGGCAGTGATAAAACTACAGCCCCCATAATGCAACAGTGTTGTCTTTTATCAGCAGGAGCAAAGAAAGTAAAGCTCCGTGGTCCTGCCCCAGGAAGTAAAATCCACCATTTTATGAGCTGTTGCATGTACAGCTGCTTAAACCCGTCTCAACATGGAGGCCACCCGCGGTACTGCAGCCTAAATCCACATGGACTAGAGGCCACCCGCGGTACTGCAGCCTAAATCCACATGGACTAGAGGCCACCCGCGGTACTGCAAACCTAAATCCACATGGACTAGAGGCCACCCGCGGTACTGCAGCCTTAATCTACATGGACTAGAGGCCACCCGCGGTACTGCAGCCTTAATCTACATGGACTAGAGGCCACTAGTGGTACTGCAGCCTGGACTAGAGGCCACTAGCGGTACTGCAGCCTTAATCTACATGGACTAGAGGCCACCCGCGGTACTGCAGCCTAAATCCACACGGACTAGAGGCCACCCGCGGTACTGCAAACCTAAATCCACACGGACTAGAGGCCACCCGCGGTACTGCAGCCTACATCCACACTAACACTCAAACGCTCCTCCTCAGCTGACAGCTTCTTCTTCTAACCCAACTTTAGTCCAACAAACTCTGCTCGCTCTCGTCCCTCTCTAGCTCCGCTCTGATTGGTCAGACCGCTCACCTGTTCCTCTGGTCCTGTGGAAGTAGAACCACTGCACACCTACTGCGCAAGACCAGGAGAACCAGAACCAGAGCACGTCATGTTTGGGACGTCCATCCTAAACAGCTGCAGTACCACGAGTCGCCTCTTGTCCGTGTGAAGACTGGTTTAAGCAGCAACACCCTCCAGATCATAAACACATCCATGCAACAGACTCAAAGAAAGGGCATGGGAGAGGAAGGACTTTGGATCTCTGTTGGACCCATTTCACATGTTTCATATTTGTAAGTCCACTACATCACTGAGTGAGTGTGACACGGGGGCAATAAAATAAACGGGATTCCACTGACACGCGTGGCCTTTTGCGATAGTTAGAATTCAAAATCCTAGGACAGACATTTTCACAACATTGATAAGATATAATATCACACAAGTATTTTTCCTACAGCTAAAACACGACACGTCTCCTGCTAAACACATACATCTGCGTGCGCTTGTGTCCAGACTCGCCGTGCTTTGGATGCGGACAACAAACCCAACCCCGAAATGCAGAACCTTAAAACGCGACATTCTGGAGAGTAGCACCAGACGAGTTCAAAAGAATCAGAAGAACGATCCACAAAAGGCACTTCAGTCGCCGATCGGCTCTTCCAAAGTCCCACCGGAAAGTCCAATGTCCCAGAAGTTTTTTCAACTCTCACTGGCCATACTTAGCCCTGCCCGACCCGGCGCAGCGCTACCCTACCCTATTCTACTCTACTCTACCCTTGGGTGGGTAGAGTAGACCACCAGCCCTGTTTGACCAGTACCAGATCCTACTTTAGTCCCTCTTGGTCCTGGTTCTATCCAGGCCGAGCTGGTACTAAAGTGTTCCAACTGACAGTGATTAGCCAGAGAGTGCTTTCCCCTGGAGACTGGTTTGTTGTGGTTGCTATGATACGGTACCGGATACTAAAGCGCAATCGAAACACAACCAGGTAGAGTAGAGCCGAGCAGAGTAGGGCCAAGTAAGGCTGGTGGAAACGGTGCTCCCGACTGTATGGGGGTGTGTGAAAGTAAATACATGGAGGCACGTAAAGGCTGAAAATGTGGTTGATCAAAACAATCAGGTTCCGCTGCTTTAAGTAACGAACTAAGAAAACGTGAGAGAAGTGAAAGTGACATACTGTGCTTCTGTTGCTCCTGCGACTGTGGATGTTTTTTTTTTTACGCTACGTCACCGTAAACATCACAACAAAGTGCCAGAATAGCAGCAGATAATGTTAGCGAGCAGTGGATATTTTTTTCTCAAGATAAAAGTGCTGTATCGCGGATTAAGAAGCAAAACGATGTAGCAGTGGCAGTGAAAGGGGGTGGTCCAAGATCCGGCAGAGAAGAGGGACAAGAAGCACAATAGGTCTTCTTTAATGTCTCTGATGTGATGGAGTCTTCCTCTGGGCAGCTGTGGTTTCGGTGTCGTGGCGTTGGCCTGGCAGGAGCAGCTCCAGGTCTCTGGTCTCTGGTCCTCTGGTCGGAGCCTCAGTCCCAGTATGAGTACATGTACCTGTACGTGTGTGTGGCAGACGGTCTTCATCCACTTGTGGTGCTTTAAGGCGCCTCGTCCCCTCAGAGGCATCTCCACAGGAACACACTGGAACACACGACATCACAACACAACCAATCAATCAATCAAAACCTCCAAACCTGTACACCATAATAAACCGGTGGTAGTGGTGGTAGCAGTAGCAGTAGTAGCAGTAGCAGTAGTAGCAGTAGCAGTAGCAGTAGCAGTAGTAGCAGTAGCAGTAGCAGTAGCAGTAGTAGCAGTAGCAGCAGCAGTAGCAGTAGCAGTAGTAGCAGTAGCAGTAGCAGTAGCAGTAGCAGCAGCAGTAGCAGTAGCAGTAGCAGTAGCAGTAGCAGTAGTAGCAGTAGCAGTAGCAGTAGCAGTAGTAGCAGTAGCAGCAGCAGTAGCAGTAGCAGTAGCAGTAGCAGTAGTAGCAGTAGCAGTAGCAGCAGCAGTAGCAGTAGCAGTAGCAGTAGTAGCAGTAGCAGTAGTAGCAGTAGCAGTAGCAGTAGCAGTGGTAGCTCGTACCTGCAGTCGTCTGCTCCGGTGCTCACCACAAACTTGTCTTCACTGGAAAAGCGGATGTTGGTCACATGAGCCGAGTGTCCGAGGTAGCGTTTGTGTTTGGCCTGAAGGACAGAGGAGACAAGTGAAGGACTTAGGAGACAAGTGAGGACAGAGGAGACAAGTGAGGACAGAGGAGACAAGTGAAGGACTTAGGAGACAAGTGAAGGACTTAGGAGACAAGTGAGGACAGAGGAGACAAGTGAAGGACTTAGGAGACAAGTAAGGACAGAGGAGACAAGTGAGGACAGAGGAGACAAGTGAAGGACTTAGGAGACAAGTGAAGGACTTAGGAGACAAGTGAGGACAGAGGAGACAAGTGAAGGACTTAGGAGACAAGTAAGGACAGAGGAGACAAGTGAAGGACTTAGCAGACAAGTGAGGACAGAGGAGACAAGTGAGGACAGAGGAGAAAAGTGAAGGACTTAGGAGACAAGTGAGGACAGAGGAGAAAAGTAAGGACAGAGGAGACAAGTGAGGACAGAGGAGACAAGTGAGGACAGAGGAGACAAGTGAAGGACTTACGAGACAAGTGAGGACAGAGGAGACAAGTGAGGACAGAGGAGACAAGTGAGGACAGAGGAGACAAGTGAGGACAGAGGAGACAAGTGAGGACAGAGGAGACAAGTGAGGAGAGAGGAGACAAGTGGGGACAGAGGAGACAAGTGAGGACTTAGGAGACAAGTGAAGGACTTAGGAGACAAGTGAGGCCAGAGGAGACAAGTGAGGACAGAGGAGACAAGTAAGGACAGAGGAGACAAGTGAGGACAGAGACGACAAGTGAGGACAGAGGAGACAAGTGAGGACAGAGGAGACAAGTGAGGACTTAGGAGACAAGTGAAGGACTTAGGAGACAAGTGAGGACAGAGGAGACAAGTGAGGACAGAGGAGACAAGTGAGGACAGAGGAGACAAGTGAGGACTTAGGAGACAAGTGAAGGACTTAGGAGACAAGTAAGGACAGAGGAGACAAGTGAAGGACTTAGGAGACAAGTGAGGACAGAGGAGACAAGTGAAGGACTTAGGAGACAAGTGAGGACAGAGGAGACAAGTGAAGGACTTAGGAGACAAGTGAGGACAGAGGAGACAAGTGAGGACAGAGGAGACAAGTGAGGACAGAGGAGACAAGTGAAGGACTTAGGAGACAAGTGAGGACAGAGGAGACAAGTGAAGGACTTAGGAGACAAGTAAGGACAGAGGAGACAAGTGAAGGACTTAGGAGACAAGTGAGGACAGAGGAGACAAGTGAAGGACTTAGGAGACAAGTGAGGACAGAGGAGACAAGTGAAGGACTTAGGAGACAAGTGAGGACAGAGGAGACAAGTGAGGACAGAGGAGACAAGTGAAGGACTTAGGAGACAAGTGAGGACAG